ATGTACTAAAACCCACTTTCTTCTCCTGTCCTAGAAAGGGGGTGACTTTCTAGGATTCAGCATCCCACAGTCATTTAGCTTATTAAGGAGATCTCAGCAGTAAGAGGGTGTTGAGGATGGACACACCTTTAATCAAGAGGTAAGTGAATATACACATAGTGTTACTCTGGTCATTATTTCTCAGTGCCTTTACATTTTATCCCTGGCACAAAGGATCATCCCACGAGGATGAGATACTCACAGAGAAAGGGATGCAGGTGAACACGTCTTTCTCTGACACCACGTCATCAATCAAGCTCCTGTTCCCCCATAGATCCTCAACTGTGGCACTCAGAGTCACAGACTCGTTCAGGTGGGTCAGCTGAATGCAGACTTTCTCTTGAGAATCCGTGTGGATCAGATAGGGCACCAGCACCAGGTACTGCCTAGGAACAAGGGAGAATGATAGGTCAGAGGAGCAGGAACAGGTAACAGGAGCTGTGTAGAAAGAACAAACAAACCAATTGGATGACTACACTTTGGCTGCACAGGGAGAAGGGTGCATTTTCTAAGTGTGTAACAACATTTCCAGCATGTCTGTAGCAGCAGGGGAAAGCAGAGGTCTCAAATGTAAAATACCAGAGGAAATGCTACACACAAAGATCTGGAAAGGATATGTTTTTCTAGGTTCTGACACAACAGCAGCACTTCTTCCTGGGATCCTGAATAAAGGCGGGAGGGAACTCAATTGTCACTTTTGCTAGACACTGTTAGAAGCATTCAGGAGCCACACAAATGCCAGTACCCAGTGAAAAAATTCCATTGACTACACACTGCGAAGCGTCTGCAGCATTACTCTCACTCCTCGCAGAGATTCAAAACCGCCACAGCGTGGAGCCAGATCTTAAGCAAAAACACAAACAAGTTTCAGGTTTTCAGAGAAGCAAGGCTTCTCTGTCACAGGCTCGACAGGGGCTCCCTGCTCAGTCCTGAGCAGCCTCCTTCCTTCCCAGGGTGGTAACTTGCCGGTGGTGTCCCGGTGCCCAGCACTGCATCTGGGAATCAAGCCCGATCCACCTAACGCTAACCATGCTCCCAGTTTGGTGGACAGGACTGGCCTCCAGTGGGCATATTCAGAGCAGAGAGCAGATGGGAGAAGAGCCCTCAATACCTCAGCAGTAAGGCAAAGCATTCCCTTCAGCAGTGGCAGAAGCTCTGGCACCTTTTTGCCCAATCCCCAGTTGTCTGCAGGGATCAAGCTCTGGCCCCTCAGATCCCACTGTCTGTTTCCCCTGCATTTGATGAAAGCACTACAGCACAACCTTGCTCAGGAATTCCCCTGCACCCCTTGTGATGGGCTCTCTGATGGGTGAGACGCTCTGTGCTTTGCAGGGGAGGAAGAGACATTGCCAAAAAGCCAAAGGAGAAAGGCTTTGGGATGTCAGGACGCTTCATGTGCTGCTCCTACCACACATATACACTCATGCACACAACACAAATGTCCTTCACATACCAATGGGGCAAAAGGGGGTGAAGAAGAGAGGCAGGACACTATACCCTCACAAACCTGGACAGTCACAGTCTTACAGTGTCACATTATCCTGCATGGCAAGGGAATTTTCATTCCATTGGCTGAGCTGAAAAATGTGAATTAAAAAATAAAGCAATTTCCAAGCATGCCAGATGAGCTATTTGTTCATTTTCTTCTCATTATCATTTTTAAAAAGCCACTCCCAGCTCCTGGGCATTTCAGCTGGGAGTAGGACAGTCAACCCAAGATTAAACCTTTCATTGTCCTTTCAAAACTGTTTGTCTCTTAAGAAGACCTCATTGCACAAACATTTATGAAAAGTTGTCTTTCAAAAGGACTAATTTTGTGCATAAAACTTTGTTGAAATCCTGTCAATCCCCTGAAGTTTTACTGGTATCTCAGTTTCACAGCTTGCTCTGCATCTCCCTCAAGCACCAGAGTTCCTGTTTGTAGAAGGCACTTTACCCAGCCCTGGTATCTTTATTCCTGGATAAAAGAAGTTAGATAGAAGACAAGGGACAGAGAATAGACACAGGCACACAGCCAAGGTCTCGTGCCTGCCCAGAGACCCCCCCAGCATAGCTTACGGCTCTGTGATGGGTGAGGTGTCTCCTGGAAGGAAGAAGAGGAGGAGGAAGATGCTCGATTTGACAAGCAGCCCGTTCATCCCCATGGTACGTGGTGAGTCAAGCAGGCACTCAGTGTGGTCCAGTGCTGCTTTCACTCCCCCTCTGCTCTCCCAGTCAGCCCCTTTATACTCTCCTCTGCAAACAGCCCAGGGGCTGGAGGAGATAAGGGCTGGGGGCCAGGGCCCATCCGGAAACAGGGAGAGGCAGCAAGGAGGAGCTGGGACTAGCAGCTCCAATCTGGGCAGAAGGCCAGGGCTGGGGGGGAGAGGGAGGGGAGGGTTCCTGGCAGGCCAGAACTCTGTCTCTGCTGGGGCAGGACAGAGGCAATGGAAGAGGAAGGGCTCTAACTAAGAAAAGAAGGGCTAGCAGCAGAGCATGAGGTGAAGGCTTCCATTTCTGGCAGGACTCTTTGTATGGAGCTGGACACGGCACTGGTCATGGAGGTTGCTGGAAGCACAGGAGCTGTTTGATTTCCTTCAAACTGTGAGCAGGAGATTGGACTAGGAATTGGGAAACAAACCTGGGTGTGTCTAACTCCCACTAACAGGTTGTGAAAACAGGGAATGGAAATTAAAAAAACCTTCCCTCTCCACCCACACTGTTCCCTTTTGCTCCCTGTTTCTGGTCCCATCAAAGCTAATGCCAGGAAAAGAGGTCACAAAATGCCTGGAAAATCAAGTCAACTGAAATGATCTGGCCTTCACCCTGACAGAAACAGGGACAGTGACATGATGGGAAGCTGCCAAAAGTTCAACCCATTAACAGCATGTAACACATTAACCAAGTGCCCAGAGCAGCAGCTACCCTCACACAGCAGAACATATGTGGCCTGGGTCTTACCTTCCTTCTACTGGTTCTGGTTCCAGATCAAGTTATGGATACATCTAGATCAAATTATTGCTGTTTGATGGAATCATCCTGATTTAATTAAGTGCATATTCATGTAATGCACTGTGATGGGCAATATTGTACCAGAGAGGGAAATGGAGTCTTTAGACCACTGTCTTTACTTGGGCTGCAGCAGGAGGATCAATAGCTCTGGTAATTATTACCCTTGCAAGTGGTAGTAGAATATCTGTCTTATTTATAGTTCTAATGCAAACTCCAAAGAATGGAGATCTGTGTTAGAGGATGTAAAGCATAATTTTCAGATTAAAAAGTGTGCAGGATAAAATCATTTTCTGTCTGTCCTACCCTTCTCCTCATATAATCATCAAAACTTTGTTAAGCTGAGTAACTCTGGAGTTAAGAAATCCAAGTGCAGTGCAATTACAAACCTTCATTACCGACCTCATTCTGCCCTGCAGTGACCTGCATAGGAAAAAAGAGGATAGTAGTGCATGTGCAATTTCCTTGGGGACTGCACAAAAGACAGCCCAGATTTGTGCTCTTCCTTCAGCATCTGGCACCTAAAGATGGCTTTGCTCGCCCAAAAGAAACATAATGCAGGAAAGTCTGCCTCACCCACAGAGGAGAGGATTTATACATATGGGCTGGTCAAAGCCTTTTAGAAGATGACAATTTACAGAGGTAAAGGTCAGGAGCTGGACTGATGGAACACCAATCCGACAGGACAAGAGGCAGAACTGCACAGGGCAGAGGGATCTCTATAGAGATCTACCCTTTTTGTCAAACAGCCAAACAGCTCTCACAGCTCCCAAGCCTGCTCCTGATCATTAGGACCTTGGTCAAAAATGTTCTCTGTAGCCAAAAACTGAAGAGAAATATTTTCAATCCATTCAGGCAAGGTAAAGTAGGCAAGGTCAGAGACATTCTCATCTCACCTACATATGATAATATGAGAAGCTGTTTCTTCAGTGGTATTCTCTGGTAAGGTATCTGGTAGGTGCCCTTCTACAGATGCCACCACCATTTTGACAAAGCAAGCTAAGTGTTCAGCATTATTTCATAGTGTCTGGCAACTTTCCAGAGGTCAGAAACAACCATCTTTTGGTATTTGAATGGACTCTGGCACAGATAAAATGACTCACCCAAAGTAACTCAGACAACCCAAGATGGAAATTCTAAAGTTTTGACTTTCTACTACACCGCAGTTCCCCCAGGCCCGGCTGTTGCAGTCATGGTTATGAAAAAGCAGACTCCTCCTTCCTGTAACACATTCTCACCTGAGACCTTCATCTCAGTGAACTCTAGATGAGGCTCAGTAGACATCCACTTAGCTAAGTGTGCTAAGATCCATAATTTTGTCTTTATCCACCTTGATACCTTCATGTGTAGCATCCTGTTAAGTAGGTGGAAAATAATGCCACTGGCAAGGATTTCCTGCAATTATAATAAAAATATGAAGCAAATATATGTAATCTGAATTGAAATGTTGAAGCTGGTTATTATGCTCCTGTGACTGTAGGAATAAGATCTCTCCTCTGCTTTCTCTGCTTTAGAATAATTCATCCCAGCTGTCTCAGCCTCTCCAAAGAGGGGAGATGCTCCAGTCCTTTTGTCATATTTGTGGCCCTGTGTGGGACTATCTAGTCAGTATGGCCATGTCTCTCTTGTACTGAGCAGCCCAGAACCGAAGACAGAGTTCCCAACTATTCACTGTGGTTTTATGACATTCAAACTCTGAGCCTGTCTCTGCTCTATTTGAACTGAAAGATCATTGCATTAAGGGTTTGCCCACTGCTTCCTCTATCTGCAGTAAGAAAACACACAGGTGGGGAGGAAAACAGGTTCCTGGTGGATTATATAATTACACAGAATTAGCTGTATTCCTTTGACTCCAGAAGTCCAGTTTCTTGACTAGCTTGCTTAAACCTGCCTAATTCCTTCCAACAGAGAGAAATGGCACAGATGCACACTTTTGGTTCAGTGCAGGCTGAGATTTATTTTCACTGCTGGATTTACAGAAGCTGCAGTTTCATTTCAACCTCTTCTCTCCCACTCATACCACTGGCATGCAAAAGGAGAAGCTGCCACTAGGAGAAATATGTTTATATGTTTCTGTCAGTGATTAGCATGCCTCCTTTCCTCGTCCTTCTGATATCAGACAATGGAGTTGCAGGGAATGAAAATGTAATCTGATACTTAAAAGTGTGGGAAAATGACTAGATCCCCCTCAGAGGTCTGAAGACACCTGTTGTGACAAAGCTTTTATTTGCCTTTATTGGATAAATAAGGGAAAGAGTAGGCCAGGGAATATGTCCCAGGTCTCCTCTGGTCGCAAAGAGCAGTAATCCAACACTTGTGGGCTGAGAATAAATCTATACTGAGAGTAATTGGACAACAAACCTGTCCTTGTAAAACACTTTAGTGAGGGTATGGAAAAGGCAAGTCCTTGGTCCTGTATGAGGCTTCAGTTTGCAGGGCAATGATCAACTCATACTGCTGATGAGGTCGTTGTGAGATGAAAAAGCACATGGGATTTATCTAAGTGTTTTCTCACAGATCCACTGAAACAAAACTGCACAGCTGGAGGCATGAAACTGATCTTTTTTCAGGACAGCACAATTTTGCACAGGGCTGTTAGAGTGGACCCTGCAAGAGACATGGAACAGTAGTGAAAATGAAAGAAAATACTGAGATTGTCTCCTGGAGACGAGAAATTAAAAACATCTGCTTTTAAAGGGTGTAGCCCAGAGGAAGAGAAACAACCTGACCTCCAAAAGGCAGCTGTTAGAAAATAAAATGTACAAAAAGAACCTATCTACCTGCCACAGCTAAGTAATTTTGCCATCACAGAACCCAAATCAGACCCAAACTCAGACAAAATTCCCTGCAGTGGCAGTGATAGCCACCAGCATGTGAGTGGAAGTAGTATTTGAATGAAAGTCTCATGGAATGATCACTGCCTTCAAGGAGTTTGTAGGAACAGAAAGCTGGATTTATTCAGGGAACTAAGCCAAGTGCTCTAAGTACTGACCTGTTGACAGTGAGATCTTGGGCAAGTTTTGCTTGCTGGAGAGGCTTTAGAAACTAACTCATTGCCTTAACTGCCATAAAAAGGAAAGGGCCAGGCAAAGTCACCAGATTAAAAAATGTTTTCCCTCATGGAAAACACTGACTTTTGTCCAAATAAAGACTGAGATAAAATTAAAGTTCTGACTTAGGTTGGCACCAGTCGAGCAGGAAAGGGCTGGGTTCTTGCACCCAGTGACACCAGCATTCTACAGAATGGGTGCAAGGTGGCTAAAGCCAGTAAAGCCATTTGTCTTTCTGACCAAGCATCTGTGTGCTGGTGCAGGTAAATAAAGTCCTTGGTCTGAGCAGCTGGAGGGAAGCAGAGAATGAGATACTAATACTTGACCTGCTTTTGACAGGTACATGCCTTTACAAGGTACAGGGCAGTGAAAAGTAAACACTATTGAGCTTAGTGCAGTACGGTGACAGCAAGAAGAAAATCTGCCCAGGAAGAAAGCTCCTGACATCTGAAGGAGGAACTCTGGCTGTTCTGGAACACCAGGCAATCTGAATAAGCACTATTGTTTTTAAAACAGAATGAAACTCACCTGGTATCACTTAATACAGAGCCATCCTCCCAAATCCATCCAGAGCTTGTACTGTTCCTCAGTCCAATCCAGAAATGTTTTTCTTGAATATGCTTGAACAGATCCTAGAAATTATGATGAATTACAAAGTGACTAATGAAAACCAGCTTGAAAATTGAGATAAGTAAAGAGAACAGAGAGCAAGATACATCCCCTCATCTCACTGTTCCTTAAGTGACTAACAATACTGCTTCCCCACACCTTCTAATGACAGAGCCAGGAGTCAGATTCAATGATCCTGATGGGTCCCTTCCTACTCTGCATATTCTGTGATTATATGATTCTATGAACTGCACCCCAGTCTCCTGGAATTTCCTGCACAGAGCTTTATGTAGGAAGATATGTTATTAATATTAATATCAACACCCTACTATACAGCTAACTAGCAAGCTAATAAGAAGTATTAACAATTAAAGGTAAAATCAGGGCAAGATAGGGCAGGAAGTGCAGGCACCGACAGATATGTGTAACAAGCCCAGTATGAAAGCTTTTTAAATTTCATACACATTTTCCCCCTATGTGTTTTCAATGTTCATTTCCTTTTAGCTAACTTTTAATCTCTGATTATTGTTAAAAGGTGAAGCCTGCAACAGAAATTCAGCCCTGAAGTCAATTCCCCATCCCCAACCCTCTTCTCTATAAAAAAGACAAAGTCAGGAAACGTAAGTTTGTCTTGTCCACCTTTGCAACCAAAGAACAGCAACTTTTCAGGGGTATGGTTGGGCTCCATCCTTATCTCCTGCTGCCATAAACAAAGCTTCAGAGAAGACATCTTCAGAGAGAAGCATTAACAAAGCTGGCTTGGTAAAGTTGTGGGAATAGGAGCAACTTGAGGAATCACTGGAGTGTCGCTGGTGGTTTGGAGATGACTATGTTTCCCTAGCACTTAGAGGCTGAGCAATCACAGCCTTTGCAGTACAAGACATAGATAACTAGAAAAGTCTTGTTTAGATGGGTGAGTCTAAACCCTAGCCCTAATCTAACCCTAACCCTATCCCTGAGCAAGGATAATGGTAACCTAGTAGCTGAGATGATGGTAAGAAAGCAGCGGGAGCAGGAAGGTTTTCTTCATGCCGAAGAAATGGGTAATCTGGGGAAGATGCCTATTTCTCAAGGAGACAGGATTTGTTTAAGCAAATCTGAGAGCCTGGTACATACTCCCAGTCAAGCAGAGACCTGGCTTTGTAATCCTCCAGAGCACATCACACAATGCAACTTCTGTCCACGGCCTGGAAGCTGTCCACGTTCATTGGACCTGAGCTAATAAGCCCTGGCTTGAGCAAAACCGGATCAAGGTTTCTGCTCTACTTAAGCAGATGTGCCTCAGCGCCCCAGTAATCAGCACTGCCCCTTTCTCTAGGGACAATACGTGCCCCTGCCCCCAGAGAGCACCTGCAGTGGAACACATGGTTCCTTATTCCACCAGCACAGCTGAGGTATTACGGCAGAGGGAGGAAGTAAGCATTGAAAAGAGACTGAGAAAGAAAGATCTAAGCATGAACCCAGGGAATGGCATGGGTCACTGAGCAGGAGGAGCCGGAGCGCTCACATGGAGGACAAGTATTGCTTTTGCAAAGGAAGCACTCCTTGAGAGGGGGGACATATCAGTTTGTAGGCAACAAATACAATGACTGCTCAGTGCCACTGTAATCCTTCACATCAGTCTTATTGGGAATAGGAGAGGAGGTGGAGAGGAACAGTGGAGAAGGCTGTTGCCTACCATCCTTCATAGGGTATTCTGAGTACCTGACAGTGACCCTCATCTCTCCGTTCTCCCCTTTGCTTCTCTGCTTCCTGCAAACTTTGTGATGTGTAACACCACAGTCATAAATCCTTCCTCTCCTTTAAAACCATAATATTGCTGAAGTGATAGCACTGCTTGTATGCCAGTCACTTGGGTATCTGCAAGGAAATGGGAGACCCTCAAAGCCAAAGAAAACCATTACCATCTCCAAGGCATCATTGATCACCAGGAGGTGAGCTCCCTGTGCCCGGCAGGATTCCTGGCTGGAATTCCAGTCCTTCTTCTCCGTGGAGAAGGAGTAGCAGCTCCCTCTGTAGGCCACCCACTCTAGAGGGCAGTGTGGGTGGCAGTCGCCTGTAAAGTCAAAATACTCATATTCTTCTCTACCATTAACCAACAGAAACACTTGTCAGCAAGGACCTACTGAGAAACAACTCATTTGAATAGCTGAAATGCAGAAAACTCAAATCAGGACAAGATTCTGAAAATAATAGTGCAATTTCAAAATCCTACAATAGTCCCATGTTCTCTGATGCTGGTGGCAAGCATGCACACACTCACCTCACCCCCAGGTTTCCACTAAACCTCTCAGATACCCAATAATGGGTATCTAGATACCCATTTCAGATACCCAGCTGGCTATCTGAAAACAGATCACGCTCTGTGGGTATGGTGTGATCACATCTCAGCTTGGGTGGATGGATTTTAAGCAACTAACAGGAAGCTCCTCCACATAGTCTAGCACCATCTGCATGCCTGCAAATATATTACAGACCTATTTGTTCTATAGTTTACCACTACATTTACTAGGCAAGTCTACAAAGACTTTTCAATATATTTAACTATTCTTTGCCACAGGATCTGAAATGGTTTCCTGGAGTCTGCATGAGGAATCTATTCTTCAAAATATTCTGGACAGGCAGTGGGTACATAAGGCTGGTAGAAACCTAGAAGAGCTCCTGGTTTTAACTCCATCCGATGGAGTTTCTGTGGTTAGATGTGTCGCTGCTCCCTTGCTGCTGGTTGCTCATGCTCAGCAGCCCTTTGTGCACTTACTCATCTTCCAAATCAAAGCAATTGCCAGGGAGATACTCAGTGTGCCAAAACCTATGGCCAAGCCCTTCAGAACTGCTGACCACAGACGGGGAGCTGTAAAAGAGAAAATAAACCATAGTGAACAGAAGCCACATGAAAACTGACTGTGGTTTTACATAGTCCTGGGCATTTCCCCAAGGAACTACACTATTTAGAGCATCGTGTCTGTATACACTCTGCACATAGTAGACATCACTGTCCCTGCCCAGCCAAACTGGGGCCTCCCCATCAGCCCAGGGCCCCATTTCAGCTGGATTTGGGGCCACCAGTTCCTGTCTGAACTTCCCAGCGGGTACCTTTCTCTACATCAGCCATAGCTCAGCCCCTGCCTGGCCACAGAGCCTGCTGGTCCAGCCTCTGTGGTGGCTGAGCCCAGCAGAGGAAGCACCTACCACAAGTGACCTGGAACCACCTAGGCACTATGTGACACCTCCTGCTGGCAGGGGCCTCCCAGCAAATCCACTCCTGCCTCAACATTGAAGCTTGGGGTGATAACCAGAGAGCTGCATTGCTACAGCCACCATGTTCCAGCTTACATGTAAAAAGAAATCATAAGATCTTTCCCCCAGCTTTCCCAGCAATAACAACAGGTTTAATCTCAGCATCCTGCTCACAGGCTTAGACACATGGTCATGTTACATCTTCCCAGGATACTCCCAAGGCAGTTCTACATTTTCATCATCCATGGTGGGGCGGTAGGATGGGTGAGCCAGCCTTAAAGACCCTGGGACATCTCCCACACTTTCACCACCACCTCACTGGCTGCCAGGTGCAGAGGGTGAGTCCTTGGGGCAACTTCCACTGTATCCCAGGTCAGCTTGCTTTCAAAGGGCTGGTCAGGACTGGCCTGTAGAGGTCTGCTTATGTACAGCACAACGTGTTCACCTCCAGGCTACATGTTGCTTTTCCACTGCCATCTCCTGGAGCTGTGTTTGAACCGAAAGGCATTCAGTTTGCATAAAATATTTGAAATTTCAGCACTAAAATCTCTTCTCTCCCAGACAGAAGAGAGGATGACACTTACTGGTACGGATGAGCTCCAGGGGAGTTTGGTTTGCTTTTTTTATTAATCTCAGTACAGCAGCTGCACAGACAACAGCACTCTCTAAGAAGCAGTAAATATGCAGCTAACTTATGTACCACATCCTGATCTTGTGATGTTCCAGTGCCTACTATCCAAATCTAGCAACAAAATCCCCATGGATCTTATGAAATTTGAGGTGCTTCTCTCTTCATCATGTCACGAGACACAAAGAAACACATTTGATCTCTTAGGCAAGGTTGAAAACAAATGCAGATCACATATGAAGAATATTGTGAGAAAAACAAAGAAAGCCAGTGCTAAAACAGAAGGTTAAGGGAATCCACTTAAAAACAAGAACACATTCTTTACACATTGGAAGCTTTGTCCAAATACAGAAAGTAGACCAGATCAGTAAATAAATAAAAATCAATTTATTTTGATCTTGAGCAGTTTGCAGGCTCACTTGTTAAGGCCAGTTTCTCATCTATAGAGACACACTTAGGCCTGTGGTTTTACCTAGAAGAAGTTTCTAAGGTAACAAGGAAGATCATGAGGGAGCGTTGTTGTAAGCATCATTCTTCTGGTATAAAGATCTTTTCTAAGATAGAGGTTTTCTCACGTTTCCTGAAGCTTGTAGGATCTTCTAGCTCTCCCAAACATAATTTAAAAATAGTATCATTTCTTATTTTTTAAAATCGTTATTACATAACATTTTCAGAGACAAAATACAGAAAGACCTTTCAGTTACACCCTACTCCTCAGCTTCACAAAAAGGAAAAGCAGGAGAACTGAAGGACTTGGACTAGGTCTGGAACTTAAACTTGATTCTGCTCTCTATTTCTCTTGTTTGTATCCCTGGCAGCTTGGGTTTTGTCATCAGATTGGGCCTCAAGAGAATTCAATCAGCCCAAGGTTAAGGGGTAGGGTGGAGATTTTTCTCGGCAGATTACAACTGAAAACTTGGCAAAAGTGGATAAACATCTGATGAAATATCATTCCTGGTTCTGAGATCACATCTGTGCTTTTCTTTTCTGTCCTTTCTTGCCTCTCCAAAGAAGCTGTCTCCTGCATCCTTCTGATCACTCTTAGATTTCAGGGAAAACTGCCAAGACAAGGCAACCAGGATGGCAGTCTTTGAAACAGTTAATCCTTAAATGTCATCACCTGGCAATGAATAGAGCAGTTCACTCTCTATTGTTTCAAACCAACTGCAGAAAAAAGGGAATGATTCATCATCAAAACAAAATCCCAGGGCACCTCCACAAGCCCAGCAGTGGGAGAGTCATTAAAGTTCATAAAAATGAAAAAAATATGGCATTAGATAATTTTGGAAGAAAAAAAAATACAAAGTGAAGTGGGAAAACAGGAAGTGTTTGAGGTGAATTTAAGCTTCACTCGAACTGCAGAGATCAATCTAGATAAGTGGAATAAAGTATTTCACAAATCAGGATTTTTACCAGCTGCAAAAGGAGCCCCTGCAGTTCACACTTTCTTAAACAAGTTCAATGGTTTCTGCTTCAACCTCAGTCCCTGAACTACATGTGAAGCTCTTGTAGAAATGGAAGGGAGAAGTACCTAAGATGAATTTGAAACAGGAGGAAAATCTGAATGGAGCATCCAAAAATATTTCCATGTAGTTGTCTGATGAATTGTGGAAGAGTCTGTCAAAGGGGGTAAGTGGATTGGTGGACATTTAATGTAAATATCCAATGTTATCACTTTCTCTTTACAAAACATCCCAACAAGTCTCTCGGTGCTCTGGAGAAATGACTCTGATCCTCTCCATTCATTTGCAAGCAACATGACCCAATATTTTTAGGTTTGCGAGTCCAGATTCAGTTCCAAAACTGAAAGCTGTTAGCATTTTACAATTCAACTCTTTAGGACAATCTGAAGAATATCACGGCACTGTCCCAAACAGCTCCCTTCAGCTCCTGCCTACCTCAGTATGGGAGCAGCATGACTACCTAGAGACAAGGAGGAGAATTTGAGATACAAGGATTCTGTTCCTGGCTGTGGCACAGACCTGGTTATTGCTGTTACTACAAGCACACTGCACAGGCCAATGACTGCTGTACTGACATTCTGGTAGTGCCGCATATCTAAGGCTCTCTGGAAGCCAAACAGAAGAAACAACCAGGGAAACTTTTCATTTTTGAGAAGTAGCAGCAAAACTTGTTGGTTTGAGCAGAGGACTGATTTACACACCTGTGATACTGTGCCTACAAAGTCAGCAAGGGAAAAATACCTGAGAGCACATCTCTCAGAAGTGATGGAGGCAGGAACAGAGTTGAACATAAAGACCTTCAAAAGAAAGGTACTTAAAGTGAGCTCCTAAGGGATTTCTTTCATGCTGAAGAAAGCTGAGAAATAATCAAATAATATGCACAAGAAGTGTGTTCAAGTATCAGCTTTCTTATTTTTGGTTGTCTGACCATAGCTTAAAAAGATGAGGTTCCATAAAAGAATGTGGAGAGATGTTAAAAAGAAAAATGCAAACATCTAAAGAGGGCATTGGTTAATCTCCTTTCAACAGGGTGGAGGTGAACAGGAATGGCAGGGAATGAAAGGATGTTACCGTGTTTTCTGATGCAACAGAAAACATAATTTCTGGTGAAAACATATGCAAAAGCAAGACTGCCTTCCAAACAGATGAAGTGTGAGTACCAGATAGGAACTGGGGAGTTTCTGTTCTGGCTTTGTTTCCTTAGTGAAACAAGTGACCAGACAGCAGTAAACACCTTAGGTATACAAAATTATTCTGATCAGGGTAAAGAAATCTTGTATCCCACAGTGAGAATCACCTTTGCTGTAACACCTCTGAGAATTTAAAGTCAACTATTAGTGTTGCAGCCAACACAACAGAACTCATCTAAAGCTCACTGGCATTTCATAGAATCATAGAATTATCTGAGCTGGAAAGGACCCTAAAGCTTATCTAGTTCCAACACCTTCACCTTTTTGCATGAAGGAAATGCTTACAAAGAAGGATCGCCAATGCAAAGTTTGACCCTTTGGAGGTGGTATTTCTACGCTAAGCTGTCAGAGGAATTGTTTGGTGCGACATCTGCAAGTCTAATCAGGGGTAATGGAGAGGAAATAAGGAAAGTAAAAGTTTAAGGAAAGCACTAAGAAAATTTTCCTGATAGTAAAGTCCTCTGAAGAACTGTTTCACAGCAAAAGCTGAAAATTTGCTCCCTGGGAGGTATGTAACTCTAGAACACAGAAAACAGCAAAAAATCACAAGAGAATCCTGCATAGCCCCACAGGAGAGAGGCTGGATGATCTCATATGCTTTCTCTGTCTCTGATCTCTGATTAGCATGTGCCTCTAATTTATCTGTATTCGCATCTTGCCTGCCCTTCAAAGAACTGTTGCTCACAACCTCTTGCTGCTGACAAGCAGACAACTTTAAACCAGTTTTGAAGAAAAGGATGCCTGGGTTGAATGCCCAGTAGACACTGAAGGAGGTCGGTGAGAGGGAGGGTAAAAATGCTGGGTCTCTATAACTCATCAGCTTTAATCACATCAAAATATCCACAGTAATTTTAGAACCAAAGCAACAGCTCTCTAAGCTGGCACTCAGAATTTGTTGCCAGTTCAGAGTGTTTCTGTTAAATCTTGCTATCACTCAAAGTAAAAATTTTGGTTGTCCTACCTGATCCATCTTTCCTCACCTCTTTTCTCCTGTGGAGCATTGGGCCTTGGAGGAGGAGTCTGAGAGAATCTGACAGAAGTATACGTTACCTCCTCGCTCTCATCAACTGCAGAAATTTCTGATCTGCTTGCCTCCATGCCAAAGCAAGGAGTGTGCACAAAAGGAGGTTTCGATCAGGCTGTTGAACAACAGGGCTGTGAAACAGGAAGCCTGAGGCTATATTCAGAAGACAAGAAATATGAAGCTGCTACCTCTATTTCCAGCTGCTAAGATAACCAAGTTTACAACAGAATGGAGAGCAGCGGAACTGCAGCAGCTTTCATTTTCTAACCTGATGGAGGATGTCTCAAGAACACCTGCTAATGGAAAAGGTGATTAATCACAAAGTTCAGGGGTACTCTAATTGTTGCCAATGCAAAAGGGTGTGGTTACCCCGATGCAGGAATTGAGAGGATTTGTGCTGCTCTGAGGAGCTCCCTTCAGGGCAGAGGCAGCAGGATGGTGACAGCACAAGGCAAAATAGGTGAATAGTGAGAGTACGAGGTGAAAAGTGGGATAAAGCAATGGATATGGCAAACTGGCAGCCCATCTGGTGTGAGACAGGATGTAGATGTGGACAGTGCGGGTTTGAAAAGGAAGCTTTGTGAGCTTTGGACAGTTACACTTTTAACTGGGAACTGTCTATACTCAATACCGGTGTGACTGTGCTTGAGACACAAAGCAGGCCCTGAGAGCTGGCATTCCTCAAGTCCCTCCAAGTCAACATCTCAGCTGCATCTGTACAAGGGAGACAGGGACATACTGAGGAGAATCTACCAAAGGGGCACAAAGAGGATAAAGGGACCAGACCTTCTGTCCTGGGAGGAAAGACTGAGAGCTCTGGTACTGTTTGGCCTGGAGAAAAGACTTCTTGGTTAGGATCCAATTAATGTGTATAAATACCTGAAGGGAGGGTACAAGAAGAGCGAAACTCTTCAGTGGTGCCCAGTGACAAGAGGCCATGAGCACAAACTGAAAGACAGAAGGTGTTGCCTCTGAACATCAGGAGACACTTTTTTACTCTGAGGGTGGCTTAAAACTGACATAGGTTGGCCAGAGAAGTTGTGGTGTGTCCCTCAATGGAGAGTGGCCTGGACACAGTCCTGGGTTGTAGGTGGATCAGGTTGTAGGTGGCCTGGCTTGAGCAGGGGGTGGGACCAGATGACCTTGAAAGGTCCCTTCCCAACTGAACCATTTAGTGATTCTGTGGTCAGCAACAACAGGAAAGGCTACTTTTCTTTTGAAGCATTGACCATTGATGAGAAGAGTTCAAGTTGTGCCAGGGGAGCTTTAGATTGAATACTGGCAAAAATTTATTCACCATCTCAAGCACTGGGACAGGCTGCACAGGGAAGTGGTTGAGTCACCATCCCTGAAAGTATTTTAAAAAGATGCAGATGTGGAGCTTAGGGACATGGTTTAGTGCTGAGCTTGCCAGGGTCAGGTTAATGGTTGAACTCAATGATCTCCATGGTCTTTTCCAACCTAAAAGATTCTGTGAGTCTGTGGTGGGGAATACAGATGTTTCCAGCACCCTGAGAAATCTCTTAGCTGCATGGTTGGCTGGTTTTTGTTTTAATCCACATTCTGATCCCTTCCCTTTCATGCTTAGAATGGGTATATTGGTCAGGCTCAGGCTGCACTTCTTCAGCACAGTATCCTACAATTAATTTCCAATAATTGTTTGGGCATGCTCAACAAAGGAGTTGCGATGACTGCTACCTCCAACAGGGATGATTGTTCCCCCTTCTGGTGGCATGTTCTAAATTCAAGAAATGATTGCACGGGACGATGCTTACCTGACACTGAGTGGCCAATTTGTTACAATGCACATGCTGGGGAAGGGATTGGATATTTCTGCAAATTTCTTCACTTGCCTCTAAGGGTGGCATATTGCACCCACAAGATTCCTTCTAATCCTAGGTGGGGCCTGTGGACAGCAGGATAGGGAATGTGTGCTTGAAAGGATGGGGAAGGCATAAGACAGCAGAGCAAGATGAGAGGCAGATCTCTCCTAAATGCTTCAAATCAATAATAGAGAAGTCTAAAGAGAGCTCTCAAGCTCAGAGAATTTGCTATACTAACAAGGGAGTTTAGCTGGGAATACAGTCCATATAGCTGAAAAGTAACTAAGAGGACTCAGACACAGCTTAAGTGTCCAGATCTGATTTTGTGTTTCTTTGGTAGATTCTCTCCAGTATGTCCATGTTCTCTCATACTTTGGAATAAAGGTGTTTCTCCCAGTTCCTGCCAGTTTTGTCACTTTTTAAGTGCCTGGGCTGCCTGCTGGCCCAGAGTGACTACAAAGACAGAACTTTTTGTGAAGAACTGGAGAAGTGAAAGCTGGTGGGAAAGAACTAAGAGCTCTGTTTTAATGTGGTTTACCTTTTTTTTCTTCTAATATCAGCAGGACAGGAAGTGGAGTGGGAGGGATCACACTGTTGAAGGTGTGAAGGCAACTCTCAGTTATTAAGTGTGAATAAATAAATCTGACTAATGCAGTTGTGCCATACTGTCAGTATGGGGTCACAGCAGGACTAAACTGATCAGTTTTCCAGGAGCCAGCAGCACTTCTTCCCTAGCTCTTCACTGCTGAAGCAGCATACCGGAGAGAGACCCTCCCAAATTTCTCTTAGACAGGTACCTTTTCCAGCATGTTGGTACATTCACTAACTGCAGCATTTCTTTCTTAACTAGAGGATGCAAAAGCCTCAGAACTCTGGCAAAGAACATCTGTCTCTTCCAGTAACAGACTCCTGGAAATTGGATGTGCTCTGGGAACACATCATAAGGAGAGAGATGTCCTTTGAACAGGCTAGTCTCACATCTCACATTTATAGCTTTATTAATGACATCCAAGATGCTCACTACACTAACTTTGTGTGCTAGACCTGGAATTCCTCTACAGTGGCAAAATCTGCAGGAGTTGGGGGAAGCACCTTTATTCCAAAGTATAACAAAACATGGAGAGAATCCACCAGAGACGCAAAGCGGGGACAAAATCAGAAGGATCGAGGCCACAAAGCAGTTTTGTGAAGCGGTCGAGACGCCTCGCTCCTGCAACACAAGTCACTCTGGAGGCACCTGCTGGGTGGGAATGGCAAAGCCCAGCGACAGAGGGACTGCTGCGGCAGCGGGAGCGAGGGAAGGGCGAGGCCCAGAAGCTTTTCACCCCTGCCAATGCGGCCGGCTGCCT